TGTTATCTCTAAAAGTACGTCAAACAAAGTTGAACAAGAATGGGGAGAGTGGACAGCCCTGACGAACACCACTTGAGGTAATCAATTCTGATGACAGTTCGCCATAAGCTCTCACTCTACCAGTTGTGTTCGAGTAGAGAGCCTTTATAAGGTTAATGTACTTCTTTGGTACTCCTTTCAGTGACAAACACTGCCATAGAACCTCACGATCAACAGAGTCGAATGCCGCCTTAAGGTCGAGAAATACTACCATTGTGGGGCGTCTGAATGTGTGTCTGTGTTCTAGAACCTGACGTAGTGTGAATATCTGATCTATACAACCACGTCCAGGTCGAAAACCAGCCTGGTTTTCTCTAGTCTGCTCTTCACGAGCTTTGATTAGGCGTCGAAGTATTATTGAAGCTAATATTTTAGACACTATATTAGTCAAACTGATTCCTCTGTGATTGTCACAAGAGGACTTTTGTCCTTTCTTATAGACTGGCACAATCAGTGATTGAGACCAGTCAGATGGGATTACGTCCAGTTCCCAAATTCTACCTAAGACCTCAGTTAATCTCATTGCTAATACTGGACCACCATCCTTAAAAATCTCAGGAGTAAACCTGTCAGGGCCTGCTGCTCTCCCTCGTTTCAGATTTCCTATGGCTTTTTCAACTTCGTAAAGAGACGGAGGACCTACATTAACTTGCCATTCAGGTTGACTGGAGATCGTGGGAAACCGAAGTGTGGCTGAAGGCCAGTTGAACTGATCCCTAAAGTGTTCTGCCCATCGATCCAATCTCCTGGATTGAGAATGAATAATATGTCCATCTTTCTCTGAGATTGTTTCGCTAACGGTCGGTTCCTAATTCCGGTTTCCTTAACGAGTCTGAACAATTGTCTGCTATTACCTATTGCCGCTGCCTTTTCCATCTCTCTTGCTTTCGCTACCCACCACTGTTCGCGATCATTGCGTAGACTTCTTGTCAGCTTGCGCTTAAGCTGACTCCGCTCTTCATTATGTTCAGAGCCAGGTGGAATGAGTTTCCGAGCATCTATCAGTGCGATAGATGCTGCTGAGATCCAGTGTTGCTCCCTAACCTTCTGGTTTACCTTACTAGCAGATATCACTGCTGTTTCCACAGCTTTTCGGATATCATTCCATGCTGCATCGGGGTGGGCATCACATACATGGCTGCCTAACTGTTTTCCTAGTTGTTCCTGAAATATACTCTTAGCTTGACTATCATTAAGTAGGGCCCTAAGAGGTTTCCTTGCAGCGTCTTTCCTACGTCCAGTAAGACGCAAGCAAATACGCGCTCGCACTAGAGCATGATCTGAATCTAGGCATGTGCTCCAGAATGAGCGACAGTCTTCTATCGAGCCCCTCCATCGGTGGCTGATAGCGATGTGATCTATTTGGGTCCAACGTTGGGACGAATTAGGGGGTCGCCATGTTAAAAGATGTTTTTCCTTATGCTTAAAGTTAGTATTTGCAAGGAACAGGCGGTTATCTGAGCATAGCTGCAACAGACGGTCGCCATTATCTGTTCTTTGAGCCACGACACCATAAGATCCACCTAGGTGTCTTTCCCTATCGCTTAGTTTACCTACTTGAGCATTAAAGTCACCGGCCACTATTACTACATCCGAGCGCCTAGCTTTTCGGAGAAGGTCGGAAAGCTTTCTGTAAAACTCATCTTTTACATCATCTGAGCTGCAGTCAGTGGGAGAATAGGCAGAGACGACGAAGAGGCAACGACGAGTGTCCCTATCTTTCCGGATTCTTACTGTTCCGTTCAGTCGGACAGCGCACAAACGACTGTCTACTGGGATCCACTCTAAGAGAGCTAGTTCTGCCCTAGGACTCAATGCTATACCTACGCCGGCGAGGCCACGGGAAGCAGAATCAGGGCTTCCAGATACACGAAGCGTAAATCGAGTCGGTTCTTTATTTTGGCATGGTGAGGTCAAATGAATGACGCTACTCGGATCCTGTATGCGCGTTTCGGAGACGCAGCACACATCGATGGCGCGAGATTCTAAAGTTAGCTAAGGAAGCCTGTTGTCCTATTTGGCAAAGTGTTCGTACGTTAAAAGCTCCTACGTGTAGTTTAGAGCGTGGTTTCAGGAGACCAGGAATGGCGTTCCACGTACTCGAATCGTTTGCCCTAGCGGTGCGAGGTGATAAAGAGACGTGAGGAGGGTTAGTCATGGAGATAAGAGAGGTATTAGGAGGTGTAGGAAGGATTTGAATGTGACCAACTTGGTCTCGTGTGCTGTTACGGGTATGAGGGCTGATGTCACTTCCCGGCTGCCCACACCGTGGAAGGGTATTTCTTGAGGAACCTGAAAAGGAAATTGGATTAGTGTTGGTCTTGACGACCTGGGAGCGTGACCGCAGAGCCCAAGGGACAACTGCTTGAGGCCGGTCGCGCACGGCCTTTTTGTGGAAGGTTTTTGACGTGTTAGCTCCGTTCTTCAAAGGGCCTTACCGCCGGAGACGGAAATCCGTGAGGTAAGGTGAGGTGTGACATTTTTAGGGTCGACCTTTTCTAACCCCACCCCTCCTTGTGGGAAGGCAGCATCGCTGTCATGCTGGTTGTCCGAGGGAAACACCTTACTGCTGTCACACCCCTCTACAGTCAGCAGTACGACTTCGCCCTCAGACCTTGAGTTGCTGCTTTTAGTCTTACCGTTCTCCAATCGACCTGCCTGGCATGGTAGAACCTACAGGAACATATGTTCCAGCCAATATAGCTCGGTTGGGTCATCACGATAGGCAAGCCCGACCACCGCGTCAAGGTAGCAGCTTCGGTCGGGTCAAGAAGGATGACTGCTGAAAAACTGAGATACAAGAAAAGATATATCGTGGTCAGAGCGTAACTCTTGAAAAAGTAGAAATAATTCCTAATATGAATTATACAAATAAGCGCATGACTTAAAAACAAAATTTCAGACGTTGAATTAATTGTACAATACAACCGATAGCCAATATATCAGTCACTTATTTTTAAATTCCATTAAACTATGAATATATCCTAGTTTCGTCATTAAATATGCCCATATTTTTGTTTTCTACTGTGAATTCTCAAGCAACGATTGATTAAAGTGATTTACTCTTGTGTTACAATCAAAATTCTCTTTAGTTGTAAGTGTATACTACTTATTTTGACAGATATAAGTAATATGCAACACCAATCAGAAGTGGAATGACTGATAGAAGATCGAAATAGAGAGAACAGGAAGGAAAACAGAGAACGATTGTAATAACAACAGAATTGAAATAATTATGAAGCATGTAAAAAACAACTGATGGGAGATGAGCAAATAAGGCATCTAATGTATGATTTTCATATTTTAGGAAAGCGCTCTAATTTTGCATTAAAAAAAGACTGGTTATCCCCACCAAGTCTTCGTTCACTAGAGTTATTATATTCTGCCGCCTAATTAGTAAATTCGGATCGTTGCATTATAAAACTTTCTGCTCAATGATAACTTGTTTACATCCTCATGAGATTGATTCAAAGCTATTCTCAAAATTCTAAAATAAAGTGAAGAGAACTTTTCAGTTCCTCAATAGTTCACCAACGAATTCGAAGCCAATATCCCAAAACTGGAAAAAAAATACACTGGAAACCCCATTATTTCATTTTGAAAATATTGGAAAAACAATACTTGTCTCATAAAATATTTATTTGCTTCCTAGATTTTTTTTCAAGGTGAAATAGAGAAATAAAATCAAATTTCAACACAACAAACAAATAAACAATTTAAGGTATTCTTAAAACAGGACAATAAAAAGCGAACAGCATTATAAGAGAAAAAAATGTATGTATGCATTTGTAAAGGGTACAGCATTATTCTTTTCCCACAGAAAAAAAGAATTGTACACAGGTAAAATGTCTCGTGTATTGTGCATTTCAGCCTATAATATGGATAAATAATGTATTAAACAGGTTAAAATCAGTAGTATGTGAACAATTCACGCACGTACTATCAACTCTTACAAGTATGATTCACAAGTTTCTAAAACGTGTACAAAAAGATGATCACTTGTTTTTATGTAACAACAGAAAGAAGCATACACGAACACGGATGCACACACATACATACATACATACATACACAAATAAACAAACATACACAATAAATGTGAATGAAGGTTTTTTTTCTAAGGGGAATCAAAAATCAAATTGATACTATATGCCCTACTAGTATTGTTTTCAGAAAAAGAACAAAAAATTATGCAAAAAGCTAAGAAAGGCAAATTTATTTACAATCTCTAATCACTGATAATAATAATAATAATAATAATAATAATAATAATAATAATAATTATTATTATTATTATTATTATTATTATTATAATTTCAATGGCAACAAAATTCAACTAGGGTAGTTCAAAGGTAACGACGAACTCTGTTATCCATTAGCCAAACAAACACGACCAACTAGTCACAGTTATTCACACTTTGCAAGTTCAGCACAAAATAAAAATACGCTTGTTTTTATTTCTCGAAAAAAACAATGTAAAACATTTACCACCATGAAATACACACACCGCACACAGAAATAGAACGATACACTCAAAACTAATTAAGGTCGTGCATACATGAGAAGTAGGAAAAAATATGTAGTAACAAATTATTCAAACAGAAAACGTATTGAAAAAGCAAGTCGAATAAGTGAATTAGATTTCTGTTAACAAAGAGTGATGGTAATAATAATAATAAACAGGTAGGGATATATACTACTGACAGTACACACACAGTTGATTAATTATAGTAAATAATCGTACTGATAGTGGTATTCATAGAAAAAAGTTTCACTAAACCCATTGAACAATAAAGTGAAATCACTAAGATAAGGGAATATAGAATGAATAAAAATACTGAATCCAAATATGATGATTGATGTAAATTTCTTTTCTGAAATTATCATCAATATAGAAACTCTCATCAATTCATAAGTGAAAAGGGATACACCTAAATGATTACAAATTAAAACGACTATAGTTAATGAGAACAATGACAATTACAATGTCCACTAGGTAACTGATTATCTTCAGTAGTTTGTTCCAGTGCATATGGATGCGAATGTGAATAATATCTTGAATAGATAGGTCCATTAGCAGTGGTATTAGTAGTAGGAGTAGTAGTATTACTGTCTACTGGTGAAAAAACCCCAGTAACTTCGTTTGACTCATGAAAATGAGAGTGGTGATGATGATGAACGTGATTCGTAATTACTAATTGTTTCATACGTTGTTCTAGTTGATTACGCAACAAATTATATTGATATAGAATAGCATTACGATATTCACATTCCTCTTTATCAAGTATACGTAGGAAATTTGTTAATTCTGCTGTCGTAAAGTCTTTCCACTGTAAAAGGGTAAGAGAAATGAGAATTAAATAACAGGCATATATATATATATATATATATATATATATATATATATATATATATATATATATATATATTCAGGGGCCAGATATGCAAATAGACCAATGGGATTATGTCAATAGGATCCGTTCTATACTACCATGATTTATTACATAAGCTGTAATTCAAACTTAAGAGGTTACAGAGTTCTAGAAATCAATCTAGATGATATACCTTTGGATCCCGAAGAGAAATCTAATATTTATGGAATTATCTTATCCAACTTAGTTCAAGTAATGACTGATTGTTTGAAATCAAATACAACATTCATTAATTTTATTTAAAATAAAATTCAAAATACTCTTTACCGTATGAAGTACTTTACAAGCAAGCTGAACTTTTTACAGTAACTGATCATTTGATAATGATCAACATTGTATTTGTTTAATTCATAGAGCGATCGATCAAGATGCAAAATAGCTATTAAATTGAACGACATAAGACATTGTGATACACATTATTTGATATTATGTGGTTACGCGTCACGTAATTACATAATTAGCATTAATTGGTTAATACTAGTTATTTGAAATCTTGAATTCTATTAACAAGAAACTTATCTAATTAAGAACACATATTTAGTATGAGAAATACAACAAATTGAGGTTCATATACTCGGCTTCTCTCTGAAATGATCAATAACATAACTCAGTTAGTGAGACTGAAGTAAGTGGAGCAAGATTGGAATCTATAATCTAATGAATAACATTCCAGGGTTAGAAGAATGAAACAATTCATAATTGTAGAGATTTGTAGCTCAGAGGGATAATTTTGGTGAAACTTCGTTCTCTGAGCTGAATGTTTTATTCGTGAACCTTTCATTGTTTTCCTGAACTCCTACCTGAATTTTGTGCTGCTATTGTTCAGAAGAACAATGAAAGTTTAAAGAATGAACCATCCAGCTCTGAGAAAGAAAATTCACCAAAAAAATAATGGTAAAAGTTTAAAAAAAGGTGAATCGAATAATAAAATAAACCACTTACCTCTATATCACAAGCATCATTTTCTTGTAGTACAATACGTTTTTGTTTCAACAATTCTAAGAATTGTTCACGATTTGTACTTATACGTACCCAATTTAATAATAATAGAAGAGGACATTCAGTTGTAGTAAGTTTTCGAGCGCTAACTATAAAATTTAACAAAATAGAAAAATATCTATACATTTAAAAAGAGATCCCTTCTCCTAAATCAAAATGTCTAATAAGTTTAAACCTGAAATTCCTTTTAAACAAAGATATTTCAATAGTTATTAAAGATAAGGATGTTGAAAACAAAGAAAAATCGTATCGTATGGAATCATCTAACCATTTTTCTCTCAGCGTACAAATTTGACAGTCGAAATGATTAAAGTTATTCAAAGCTGTTTAATTGTTATAGATTAATAAATACAATGTGATAATTTCAATAGTCTCACTGTCTGAGCTGGATAGGGTTTAGTCATGGAGCATTCATTGTTCTTCTGAACAACATCATCAGGTGAAGTATTTGAATTTCTTCACATAATGTTGTGAACGAGGACACCGTTGGGACAGCCAACACATTTTAAGTACAAAATTACAGAATATCTTGGTAAAATATAAGAACCACACATTGAATACTTCATTTTCGAATTTCCACCATATGTTCTTCACAGTTTGTATGATTCTTCCAGTTCACAGTCCTTATCTATTTTTTTCAACTCGATCTTCTTAGTCTTCTGATGCCAGGTTTTCCACTTCCAATCGGTGTTACATGCTACCTATATCGCAAGTAGCATACATCAAAATATGACTAACAGATTGTTCTGTTGACCTAGATCTTGATTAGTTATTGTTGACCTTTAATTTGTCTGCGTTTGCATTTTTAATTTTGATCATCTCTCCATACGATCTCATATTCTTGATCCTATATTTGCTTATGATGTTATTCAGAAGAACAATGAAAACTCGACGACTAAACAATCTAGCTCAGAGAACGAAACTCAACGAAAATCACCCAACTCCGTTAAAATTCATGAATCACAGCTAGTTGTCATAAGAATATAGACAGGTAGATTAATACTAGGTATTGACTGTCTGAACTATGTTAAAAGATTTAGATTTCCTTATCAGAGCTCACGCAACAGGTGATGAGATGTAAAATTAGTCATAGTGGTGGAGTTCCATTCATTCGCTATCTTTATATAAATCTCCAGTTTAATATTATTGACCAATGCTTTTGATTCTTTGTCCATTCACTAACCTCAGATCTCGCATGTTTAGCTGTTCTCATGGTAGTTGATATTATTTACTCTTATTTGTTTCTCTTTTTGTTAATTTCCTTTACCTCTGTAATATGTAAGGTAAAAACAACATAGACTGAAATAAATTTATGTCAGAACCTGTAGAGACAATATTGAAAGATCAAAAGACAATTTTCGATTATAGTTCTCTATTTAAAAAGTATCATAGAAGAAAACTTTTTAGATCATTGGAAAATCAATTAGGAAAATCACTACATACAGAAACGAAGTATTAAAAAAACATTTAAAAATATATATCACTCAACTCACTTGAACTATCTTCTAAAGTATGTTCATACAAGGCAAATTTACGAGCAGATTCTTGTATATGAAATCGATCTAACAACGATTGAATAGCATTAGCTGAAGTCGTAGAACTGAAACAAATAAATAATGAGTATATGTGTTCACAGTTTAAACCAAGAGGTAAATGTAATTAAACAATCATTGAAAACAGGAAAAAATCAAACAATTGGTCTTGTTGTAATATAAAGCATCACCTTATCAGTCATCGTCCTTAAATCAACCATAAGTCCAACCCACGACATCCAAGTCTCAAATTTGTACCAAGCTCTGTGGTGACCGTGTTTTTTACTTAATTATTTAAACACATAAACATTGGGACAAGGAAACAACAAATATATATGCGACACACAAATCATTCGATTCGTTTGAAGGCTGGAATACTGATCAGGTGCACAAATCGAAGCAGGTCGTTCTCTTACAGCACCACATCCACAGCCTTACATCTAAAGGTCTAATCCATAAGGCTGTGGGACAACTTCAGCAGATGAAGTCTCATGGTAGTAGTCAGTGACCAACAATAGGTTCATCATACACGATTTGTTCCCCCCTCTGGATTATGGAATCCATATGAACCACAGGTTTGGAATTAGGGTTTTCCAACTCCTCTAAGTGGATCCTCCATATCCACTAACACAGTTAAAGCGTCAGACATTCGCTTTTCGTCTGATCGATTTCGTAAATAATACCCTCGTCGTGAGAAGTCAGTGAGTAGGACTTCCCTGAGAGTGGCTGTATCTGTGTGGCTATGTGAGAGCGTTTGGAGAGGGATATGTGACTTTCCCCACCCTCAGCCGTACCAGGACATTTGGGGGCATGACTGAGTCAATCGATGCAATATATGATGTATCATGTTTGTATTATAGGCAACAGTAAACACACTAAAATTCAAAAGTAGCTGAAAAGTATACACATAAACCATTTTAAATCATCTTTAATGACAAGACAAAATATTTTCTTAAAGATATTAATTGAATTTTTAATATGGTTGCTACAGTAATCAAGAATTTATATATATATATATATATATATATATATATATATATATATATATATATCATAAAATATGTATGTACTATAGTCTACTAATTACACCCTTTTGTGTATTGAAAGAAGACATATTGTGTACAATTACAACTCAACTGTTCGCTAATGCAGTGTCAATAAGAATATGTCGAAGATTAGCTTTAAAAATCCTAAGAAAAGTTTTAATAATTAGTCTACACATCGTATTGAAAGTAGAATATAATGACTATAAAGTCAAACTAGTTGACATTTATCAGTCATAACATTTTATGATGATTGTTAAGAAAACTTCAACCATGAATAGGAAGATTCAGTTTTAAAACTAGACAACGTTAGAAAATTGAGGTTTAAAAATAAGCAAATCATTCGGCAATAAGTTAAGTCTATCATTAAAATTTTGTTTAACGAAGGTGATACAAATCAAAAGTACTGATGAACTATTAATGAGTTCACCAGAGCAAAAACGTGGAACCTTTCCTGAGTATCTTGTATATGCATATACTCAAATGCAGATATCAAAGACACGTACATTTCAATTATATACATATAGTCATAGATGGTCGCGGTTGCTAATATGAGTTACATGCAATCATAGAATGGGCGAACGAGTCTACTCATCCACAAGTACATATAGGCATATAGGATTTCGCTCGCAAGTATACGATACATGTACATATAGAACGCATAAACCGAGGCTCATACACTCCTTAAGATACATGTAGGTATAGATGTGATCACCTCAGAGCGTATCCCAGAAGTATTTTCCCTGAATGAATATCAAGTACTCAAATCAGTACGTAAATAAGTTATCATAGACAATGTGTTCAATCCACGCTCATACTACAAGCAAGTTTAATGTCAACCCCTGGACAGTTGTTGTGGCACATTTTATGGCCTACGCTCTGGCCAGCCCTTATTAGCCCTTCCAGACAAAGTCAGTCCAAGCACTAAAAGGAAGTTTCACTCAGTGCCGCAATCGCGCTCTCAATTTAAAATCAACCTCTCTCCTCTTGTAATCAAAATTAAGACGGAGTGGATGATTAGCCTGATTTCCCTATTTGATAGAGTAGGTGATGAGCCCGGTCTCCACCTGACTTGTATAGACTGGGTAATCAGTTCTGTCTCTGCTGTGTCGCTTGCGTTAGTTCATGAGGAGAAAGACCACCCTCAATCCAGGAAGCACCACGCGGAAGTGAAAGTCGGACTTCGTCTTCGGAGTAAACGAGTACATGAAATAATTCCATCCAACTCAATCTGTATTTGGCTTCTTGTTACCGCTGTCGCACAAACGAGGTTAGCTTAGGTGTAATATACAGAGTTAAAATGGTAGATTTATGCTCATGACATATCCATTCGTTCCTCTAAATTGAAGTCAGATCAACGGGCCACAATCCTTTCCACTTTCGTGGCACAAGTACCTGAGGTTCCATAATTTAAAGTTTGTTCCTTGGTGATTAACAACCACAATCGACGTATAGAATGAATTATTCTTTCTCATAGCCCACCTCTGTGACTAAATGATGGTACGTTAAAATGTCATTGGATTTACTTTAAGGGTAATTTTTTGTTTATATTCCATTGTTGTTCGAACTGATATAGTTCAAAGATTGCTCCCACAAAGTTTAACTTGTTGTTACTTGGTATCTTGGATGTCCTTCTCCTCTGAATGACATGTAGCAATTCCATAATGAACAAATATGTGGTTAGACTCTACGTCATTCCAATAGGCGCAGTTCGTTTTTGAAAGCACGTGAACAGGAATCTGTATCCCTTTTCTAATAAATCTCCCCGCCGAACTACAGAAGGATCAAAGTAGTTGAGCTTACCTTTAAGCATTCGACAGTTTCGCTTTATTATTTATTCTTAATCTAAACTGTAGGAGGATTTAATCATTCTAGTCGAAGCTCACATTATAGCTGCAACCTGAGGCTGAGTGATATAGTTGGAAATCCATAATAGCATTCGTTAATTATCTAAATCTTGCATTATTTTCATCTTACACATTTCATTCTTAATTCTCATTCGTTGCTTTTGGAACTACATTTTCTGATATTCAACTTATCAATAAACACATTATTATTATTACTTTCATTTTTTTCCTTTTCATCTTATTAATCGTCAGACCTCCAGTACGTTATCCCAAGACTGATCAGCCATTGAGTTCGTTCAGACATATCTGAACTCTTGTTGATGGAAATGTACTTTCCATATTAGACAGTCGGTTCAACAGACTACTTCATGTTCTCACCATTAAACGAATGATATTCGATGTGAAATGCTTTTTTGTGAAAAGTTGAAAAGATGCAGTAAATTCATTGGATGTAAATGATAAATCTTGTGACTGGACGCTTGAATCAGTTTCCTAAGCTCTTCCAATAACCAATCTACACGACAAACTGAACATGAGAAAAAAGGCACGAAATATGGAAGGAACGATTTCCTCTAAAATTAGTTGATGTACAGGAAAGTGAGGGTATTTATGGCATTTCAGATGATCTTTGGTTTTTGGAAGGTTCTGGAACCCTACTAAACATAGTAGCAGGATAGGTAACCATCAAATCAGAAATGGGACACGTGACTTTACTTTATAGATGTTTCTGACAAACTCCCACTCAATGCTGATTGAATAAAATGCTTCCCAGCACTTTTCAGGGCACCTTTGGGCTCTTTTCGCGGGCTATTGTGGGTCTCCTCAACAAAAAACAAATGAAAAAAGTTCGGTAATTTCATGCCATGCATAAAAAATTTCAACTGTTCAACTTTTAAATTGTAAGCACCATATGTTTTATGTAATTGATTAATTAACCACAAGAAATTTCAGAAATATAACTGAAATAATTTGGGCATAATCGGTTTCCACTTGAAGCAAACAATTTACCATATATATTGCGTGCATAAAGATTAATCCAAGGATCCGTAACTTTGTGTATTTCTTTCTAAATCAATGAGAACGAAGACTAACCATCTGTATAAAATTAGTAATATCAACAACCAGCTGACCAAATTGGAGTAGGTGGGATCGATTTCGAACATGAGGCTTATGTGTTAAAAGTCAAGTGTAAACTTTAGAAAAGCACTAAGGATAGATAAATGATTTTCGTAAATTGAATTATGAACCGACCTTATCTAAACCAGCATTCCAAAACTGGAGGCACTGGACAGACGATTCGTCCCAGTATGGGACTACTACTTAAGTCTCTATCCCCCCCAGCCGGTGACAGGTCTCGCACGAAAACGTTTAATATCTAAACCACTGAACCAATGCTTCCTTGTTTAACTTCAACTAATTCATGATATCGCGCAATCATCTTTCAGTGCACTTAATGGATACCTCTTCACGCTCGACATGGATACAAATTCTCACTAGAACTCCTGAAATTGTCTCTTGAGATAAGTCACTAGCGAGTACATGATTAACTACTCTAGGGGTTATGGAGATTGATTTCGGCTTTATAGATAATACCGCATAGATGTGTACTAATGAGGAGTCTCATAATAGGTCGAAACGGCCGTCTAGTGCAAAAGAAAAATGCACTTACCTTGTCACATAAACTACTTTTGAAGTACCTCTTGGTAGAAAAAATGAAACTAAACGTGGTGGTGTTGGTACAGCATTATTCTCATCCCCATTCTCATTTAAATTCAATTTAGTTGGACTATTTGGTTCAGGTGACGCTGTTGCACTTGATGGAAACATATCCAATGTACGTCTTAAAGACATTTTCACCGGTTTAATAAGATTAATATAAATGCGTAGAGTGCCAGCAAGTCGACAAGAATCATCCACCTTTAGGTATAACACAGTGAAGCGTAAAATTATCAAGATATAAGTTAATTCAAAAATAGTTGCGAAAAATACCAACTGGTCGTACGTAAAAAAAAGTCTAAGAAAGTTTGTAGAGTATGACACCATCTAATAATCGAACTCATCAAAAGCTCAGATACTTTATCACTTTTACGATACTTCAATCAAATGTGTAGCACTTTATGGACGATTGTATTAGATGTGAATCCAATGACTGCCATGCTCATGACTAAAATTAATACTCAACGTAAACTACACACATTTAAACCATTTATCAGTAGTAATAAATGGAGCAATTACTAAATGTTTCTTGGACGCACAACCTTAAAATTATCCACGGTGATAAATAAATGGTCAAATCCCAGCCTTCTGAAGTATGATGAAGCTATTGCTATTAAGTGTCAGAAACTTGATTTATATGTTCCAAAGGAGATAGTTGTTAATCCCTCTATCTTCGATCACATAAAAGTTCCCTTATTACATAGTGAAATTTAATATAATTCTTTTTTTTTCAATTATTCACATTACGTACTTTTTCGAATGTTTTCTAGATTGGTAATTTTATTTTAATTAACTAAACTTTACTCATTTTATCCTTAAGTATTATCAGTGTCTACTCATTATGTAACCACTTGTTTGTAGTTCTGCGGACCTTTGTTACTATCAATGCGATAGAATTTTCTTATATATAAGATACATCTTACAATATTTTATTCAATCTATTGAACATTGTTTACATCTTTGCTATACTACACTGATATATTTTCAAAATAACTTTCAAATAAACTCTTTCCTATAAACAATTGAAATCTATTCTGTAACTATAGTTTTTAAATATTACAGGTTGTAAGCAACTGATGAGAACCAAATAAAATAAAATGTGAATTTATATTATTTGCTTAAATGCTTGTTCTTACTGTTTTCAATAGTAATCACTGCAACTATTTACATGAATAAAACAAGTTTCCAAATAACATTCATAAATTAAAATATTAATTATTGTCAGGAGGTGATCAAATTAATTAATCAATTTAAATGGATGGCAATAATTAGTTAGAATAAATGTAAAGAATAACCTTTATGCAAATAAATGTATTCCAAAAAAAAAACTTGTAAAAAGCCTCTTATACAATCACTAGTCGGAGAGAAAAAATTACTAGAAATTCATATGTATAATTCTACAAGTCTGCAATTAAAGTAAATATCGTGAGATTCTCGTCAGTAGTACTGTAGGTTACAAAAAACTAGTATTTTTTTAAAATTACACTCAATGAATGAAAATAAACTATCTGATTATCAGTTTGAATCTTGTATCACTGTGATTTGGCAATAAATCAACCAGATTAGTTTGAATTTAACAAGATAACAATTATACACAGTCTAATAATAGATTAAATTCCTTTAGCATTTCATTTTGGCATACCTTTGAAACTGGGGCAAAATCAGAGTCACACCTCTGAAAAGTTCCCAGGGATAGTGTAACTTTATTTCATGAACTAACACAAGCCGCTAGAAATAGATCGGGGTGCACTTCCACTCTGCCTACACTGATGAAGACTGGACTAGTCCTCCCATCCGATCGTAAACATTAACTGTCTTAAAAGACAGTCAGATACAGAAAAATGTAACGTGAATAACTGGGGTAAGAAATTTTTCTATTGGTGCTTGACTGGATTATCTTTAGGAAGGCCTATGGGGTCTGATATAAATCTGAGCGGCTATAAACTGTCAAGTAACCAGTACACAAGGGTTGACACGGGATTTATTTACGGTATCAACGTGAAAGAGTTGATTGTCAGTAGACGACTTTACAACCAAACATTTGAAGGCAAGTAATTCATTCAGTTAATAATGCTACTGGAACCCAGTAAGGGGAAACAAAACTAAGTCGCATCAATATCTCTGTGTACACCATTGAGTGTATATGCCTTGGTCTATTCATAAATCCATGTGATTTGTATTTGGGAGAGCGCGCACCTGTGTTTGTGTGTACTGTAAGGTGTATTGGTCCTTATTGGTGTGTTTTTTATTGACCACAATGCTCCCAAATGCTCTGGTGCGGTTGAGGGTAGGGAAAGTCAACTATCCCTCTCGAAACGCTCTCACATAGCCACACAGATACAGCCACTCTCAGGGAAGTCTTACTCACTGACTTCTCACGACGAGGGTATTATTTACGAAATCGATCAGACGAAAAGCCAATGTCTGACGCTTTAACTGTGTTGGTGGATATGGAGGATCCACTTAGAGGAGTTGGAAAACCCTAATTACAAACCTGTGGTTCATATGGATTCCATAATCGAGAGAGGGGAACAAACCGTATATGATGAACTTATTGTTGGTCATTGACTACTACCATGAGACTTCATCTCGTGAAGTTGTTCCACAGCCTTATGGATTAGACCTTTAGATGTAAGGCTGTGGATGTGGTGCTGTATGAGAACGACCTGCTTTGATTTGTGCACCTGATCAGTATTCCAGCCTTCAAACGAATCGAATGATTTATGTGTCGCATATATATTTGTTGTTTCCTTGTCCCAATGTTTATGTGTTTAAATAAATTAAATAGATCGCAAAGCATTTGGGTCATTACAATGTTTGGGCATAGAAAAGTGCAACGGTTCACGAGTCATTCCGCTTCACATAAAATATAGGTAAATCGAAATCCCTACTGATACACAAATTGTACCAAATTAAACTGGCTAACGTGTCCGTTTAGTTCGACTTCCCCAGTGATCCCAGTTATACATATCTTTATCAAAGCTCTTCTTTTCCCGAAAAGTCAATCAACTTTCCTAATTAGTTGGTTGGGTAGGCTAAACAAACGTGTTGTTTTTGAAGAAAAAAAATTATCTCCAATATCCATAATACAAAAATTCTAAATTGATTAATGAGACAAATAATTTTCATGAATTGACCAAAACAAAATGAATCATGTCTTTACAAGAGAATAAAAAGGGACATGAACATAACAATGACTCATTTAGCTTATGATTCATAAGCATATGAGATAGATGAATCTATTGTAAGATAAAAAAAAGTACAAACTTTTTGCAAGTAATTCATGTTGACTATCAAATAGTTTACGTGTTAGGGGACGTAAACTAGATTACTTTTTTCCTTATGTCTAATGTGAATTATTAGAAGGGGGTTTTGTGGAGATTTTACCAATTTTATAATTGAATTCATGAAGCCAGACCACCATGGAAAACCTGGATGCAATGGACGGCCGTTTCGTCTTAGTATGGGACTCCTCCTTAACAGTGCTCATCCACAAACCCGCCCCGCAAGATTCGAAGACAATGGTGAACGATGGCTCAATTTCGTGAATTCGTTGAAGTTAGACATTAATACCGTTGAATGCCGACTTAGTGGTCTAGAGGTTAAGCGTTCGTGTGCGAGACTGATTGGTTCTGGGTTCAAATCTCACGGGGGCGGGGTCGTGGATGAGAACTGTTGAGGAGTCCCATACTAGGATGGAACGGCCGTGCATTGCATCCAGGTTTTCCATGGTGGTCTAGCTTCAATCGACTCATGAATTCATCTAATATGAATAGTATATATTTAATGTATGAGAAGAGAATCACAACCGGTTTACCAAATCGTAGACATTTTACAGATTAGAAGTATAATCTCCTAGTTCCATTGGATCTACTTCTAATAAAATGTTTGTAAATACAATTAAGAACTACATTCTTAAATAGACATGGGAGAACTCTCTTGTAAACATAAGATAATAGGTTCATATTTAGTGCAACGGTCAAAAAAAGTCTATTTTTATCGGATATATTGATGACATTCAATCTTATATTGGATTGAACATATAGGACTAGATATGTAATTCAGTTATATTATCTTGATTACAATCTTTTTGAAGCTTATCATGATACTGTAAGTGCTTGTAGAGCTCTAAACTCAAGAGATGAAACCAAATAACAGGACTGAATAATAATCGACATCTGCCACAGTTCCATATTACAAGACGATACTCTGATAGAGACCTTATCGCTCGGTGACGTGGTTGTATGAGAAGGCTCTCCTCAGTGGTTATGAGTTCACAACCACTTAGATCTTGTCTGAAGGGTGGGTAAATATTCTTACAGCTATCTGTTCGAGAATACTCTGCCTAGTCATTGCACTTCTTTCTAACTTCTATCGTATAATTAGGTCTTACTAAATGAGACTTCTTAGAGCAACATGGGGGCTAATGATAACTACCCGGTTGCAAAAACAGAAGTGAAGAGTTTGAACTTGGAAATTAGTGGCTGAAAGTTGAACAATTTAATCACACTACGCTGCATCTCTAACATAAATTAATAGTCAGAAGAAAACTACGTGACAATTAAATGTCACTTTTGCTAGACGATGACTATACTAGAAAAAAACAAGACATTTAAAATATTGTTTCCCTCGGACAAATTTAGTCAAAGAATAACAATACTTATTAAATACAATAAACTCATTGTATTTCATGGCTTTCCCTTCAGGTATATACAACCAATCAGTTAGTTATGATGAACGTAGCATCTGACCCACGTTACCATATCACAATACTACAAACAGATGAAATTAACAAAGATGAACAGCAAATGAGTTGAAATCATCATAGTGGCAATTATAGAAGAAAAAAAAAGAAAGAAGGACAGGATATTGAGAATATGCTTCGAAAAGAGAGTATCTATGAAAAGATACTGAAAGATAACAAGTGGATGCATCTATGCCACTGTGATCAATTCTGGGCTATATCACCCAACATCTACAACCACTGATTGTGACTATCGAGCAGACACCAAAACCAAGTATTTTGTATCTATCAACATTGATTAAAATAGGTATTATCAATTTCAAATCTAAATTAACTGAAATTATGAATATCTATAAAACTGAGAAAACAACGTAATACAGTAAATTCATAGTATTCTACATGACGTATGCAATAGGGGCTATTGTGTTTAATAAGTTTCGAATATACCAACTTTTCCAGATATAGAAGTTCATCAAAAAATCGATCTGTTTATAAATCATGTTTATTTTGTAATTCAATCAACCACATGTTATGGAAATAAAGCAACATACATATCAATAAATCTCCGATAGTTGCTAAGATACACACTAGATGTTATTGTGAGTTTAAACATGTACGCAAAGTGTTTTTTTTTGTAAGTTAACAAAAACACTTCTTTGTAACTGATCATCACACATACTTATTAGCGTTGTCGGGATTCACCCTGAAATGGCAACCATCATGATTTGAAGATAATTTTCCATGACAAGCCCAAGCCAGTTAAGGGAAGTTTTAGAAAAATAAACTATTATTTCACCTTAGTTCGAAATATATTTTATAATAAAAATCAATTTCATTATCTAATATACAGAAATTAAGTCTAATATGGATACTTCTATAACAACTTATCCACTAGTAAGTTTTCATTTGTGTAGCTTGCATGACGAAAAACTTTAGTTAGAAAATGAAAGAGTACTGGAAAACGATTTTATCCTAGTTTGAGAGCCCTGAACAGTGTGTATCCACGCCTCCCCTTTGGGGATCGAAAACTAGGACCTACTGGTCTCGTAGGGATAACCTGACATTTAGGTTACAAGGTCAGGATTCAATGGTTTACATTTCAAACTTCAGTTAAATAATCATATTACGCAACCGTCTTCTAATATCATTGGTGAGTAACTGTCTCATCCGACATATCTGAACTACAATGGTCACAGTAGTTCACTGAAACTCCAGTAATTATCGCTCAAAATTAATAACTAGTGAACACATGGTTATCATTAGCGCAAGAGATTCATGGATATCGCTGAATTGTATAGTTTACATTCCGAACTAATTTGCGACTGTTTATATTCCAAGTTGTGATGTTATTATACAGTTTCAAAAAATTTGCTCCGAACCACAGTGTAAGTATTTGAAGATGAAATTATTCGAGTTCACAGTTCCATAGATTTGACTGTATTAGAAAGTTATTCATTACAAGCCTTTGACATCAGTCACAGAACAGTTATTAAGAGAGTAATAGGTAGATGTTGTAGAAGAATAAACTGATATGACAAACAAAACTACGCAGTGAACGTCAGGACTTAAATTTATTGGTAACTCAGTTAAATCACAGTCGCTTTTATACTATCTGACTTATGATCATGTATATAAGTTATTATTTATGTAATCGGACAAAAAATTACTAGTTAGATATATGGTCTTTGGATATTCATTTAGTGACATCGTATTTAGCAAGTATATGTTTAATTACGCAAATTTGGCCACATTTCATATGTGAGGACTAACGATACTACTAAAGTACATTGAATGATGTTTAAATGTTTGAACCATTAAACTAGTGAGATTTTCGAGCAATCATCGATCAACCACCTTATTTATTAATTTATTTAAACACATAAACATTGGGACAAGGAAACAACAAATATATATGCGACACACAAATCATTCGATTCGTTTGAAGGCTGGAATACTGATCAGGTGCACAAATCGAAGCAGGTCGTTCTCTTACAGCACCACATCCATCTAAAGGTCTAATCCATAAGGCTGTGGAACAACTTCAGCAGATGAAGTCTCATGGTAGTAGTCAGTGACCAACAATAGGTTCATCATACACGATTTGTTCCCCCCTCTGGATTATGGAATCCATATGAACCACAGGTTTGTAATTAGGGTTTTCCAACTCCTCTAAGTGGATCCTCCATATCCACCAACACAGTTAAAGCGTCAGACATTGGCTTTTCGTTAGATTGATTTCGTAAATAACACCCTCGTCGTGAGAAGTCAGTGAGTAAGACTTCCCTGAGAGTGGCTGTATCTGTGTGGCTATGTGAGAGCGTTTCGAGAGGGATAGCTGAGGTTCCCCATCCTCAGCCGTACCAGGGCATTAGGGGATATCTATCCGTCGTCACCGCGTTCATTATTCAACATAAATGAAAGACATAGAACTGACCTACAAACTACACATGTGGTAGTGTAAAAAAATATTTGAAAACGAATTCACTTGGATTTGTTGGGGCCTTAAAATTAAGAAAAGTTCAAATCACTTTGTGTATTCACAATGAAAAACAGTTTACATTTACAATAAACTTACGCTCGTAATATCAATTTTAATCTTTCATATTAAGTAAAGTGTGTTGTTATTATTTAAATATTAAGAAAATCTAAATTATATATTCATAACTCATTGTTACTAGCTGTACAGAACGAATATAAGATGACTCGAACTTATACCCATAGAAGATTCAGTTACATGATTAATAACTACTGTCCTATATATTTGCGACAACCGTCCAGTGATTTAGTCACCATATACAATACCTGAATTAGAGTAGTTTGCCTAACACCAAACTGTATTAATCTGTAAGCACAAAAACGATTATCAACATGTCTGTATTACTTACTGATATGATGTCCTATATATGAAAAAACTAACTCCAACTGCCGAATATATGACTAGAATATCATAAGAGAAACCAGTAATTTAGTGTACAAACAACGAGTTTATAGACATAACTTTGTGGTTCAATGGGAAAGACCAATTGTTTCTAATCAACCATACCTACCATATCAGATGATAATTATTTAATTTTATGACTATCTTCTTACACTCATATCCAAAAAAAAAAAACAAATACACATGCAGTAGACTGTTAAAAAAAAACAATATAAAACATCTCTGTACTATGTAAGTGTAAGTGACATTAAAGAGACTTGGGTCATCTACTGGACCAATCTCATGAGAAGGATCTTTCAATTAGACATAAGGAACAAGACAGAAAATCAGTGTAAATGGGTTAGTTTAAGTTACTTTAATATAAATTAGCCTAACCAGAGAGAAAATTAACAAAATAAAAAGCTAGTCAGTGGAAATAATAGTAATAATAAATATGCTAAACTAAGTATAGATAAATGCAGCTTTAAAAAAGAACGAGCGACATTGAAGAACGAAAACTATGAAAATAACATCAAACTCAAAATTCAGAGAAAAATAAAATGCGTAAATATAAAAGTGGTATTCTATGCGAACTATTAATTACTTTGTACGTGATTGCCCACTGATTACGGATTTCAAATACAATACGTTCATTTGTACTCATCTAGTTCTACCTGTCTTAAATTGCACTATTTCGGGAATTCTTAATTACCACATTAATTCGAATACTTCTAATTATCATAGTAAACCATATCATTGTAATTGACATTCAACCAACAACATCACTCACTATCTCTTTAATTATTTCAGTATTTCATTAAATCAATATTTTCACCATATTACATAGGAAACATATGGAATAAAACACAAAACTTACAAAATTTAATCGTAAACCTAAAGGATTCGAGTTGAATATATCCACCCAATGATGAACACATGGTCGAGATAATGTATCCAAATTAGGTAATTGTAATTCTGATGAATTATTCATATCTTCATTTGTATTATTTGTTACATCATGTACAGTTAAACGCATCCATGCTAGACAATCTGAATCGAATGTACTAAAAGCATATGTATTACTATTAGTCATTTCAGAAATTCAAAACTATCAAAATTCAAATGATGACTTGGTGATAATAATCCAAGTGGTTTATTATCATAATTCGGATAATGATGATGAGTGTTGCATGAATTATTTAAAAAGTTTATGTCATCTGAAAGGAGTGAATCTTTACTTCGACATCTCGAATGATTATTATTATCGACATTTTTACAAGCATGTTGTTGTGTAGTATCACCATTATATAAACCATCATTAAATTTATATCCAATATCTATTTTACCTTGATAATAATCATTTTTTAAAATCATATCATTACTATTATTAACAAATAAACTTGGTGTTGTTTCATTCACTTCAGATGTTGTTAAATCCAAATTCCATGGAACAGGTGGAGGTAATAAGAGAGAGCTACAACATGTTGGAGAAACTGATCTACTATTCTGGTGTTGTTCATCTGCTCTATGAATTGGATCAACATCTGAATTATTCGAAGAAGTAGTTGTAGATGGAGGTATAATAGGAGAAGCGATTACATCTTGATGACTGTCCAACAAAGATGGTGGTATCGTGGTATTGTTATTGTCTGAACGATCACTAACAGATGAAGAGAAAATTATGGGTGATGGTGTAAGCCGTGAAGAAGAGAAATGCTCTTGAGCATTGTTATTATTATTATCATTATCATTATTATTATCACCAATTAATTGAGATGATCCAGTAATCAGTGATAACTTTCTACAATCAGAATTTGGTTGTGAATAGTTTTCTTCACATGAATGATGACGAAGATAGTGAACATGAGAAATTTGATCGTCATTTACAGTAGTTTCCAGAGGTAAACTTGGTCGACTTATTAAAAAGTTCGATCTTAGATTAGCTGGTGATAAATTAATTGGACGTACTGTATCATAACTGGAGTTAGTTTGAATTGACTCTGATTGTGCATTGGAATATATAACACCAGAATGGTTGAAATGAGAATTTCGTGTGTTGAGGCAATGATTAATTAGTTCATTTGAAGAAAAAACTTCATCAACTGACTTCACAGGTGCATAGTTATTATTATTATTATTATTATTATTATTATTATTATTATTATTATTATTATTATTATTATGACATTTCTGACTTGAACGAGGTTCTTTGGCTAGTTCCGCTAGATGGCAACCAAGTGGTGCACCACTGGTAGGAGTTGTAGCTTCACTAGCCACAAGTCCAGTAGAGGACGTCACAACCTAAAATAAACAAAAACAAATCGATGAACAAGCAAATGGAACACTTTATTTTCTATATAAAAAGCTAAGTTAATAATAAAATGCAGTTTAAATTTGAATGGAAAATACACTTGTTCGAAAAAGTCAAAGACAAAATAAAAATTTCCGAAGGTTGTATGCATTTACTTTTGATGTCGATAGCCTTTCTCGAAGCCATCATTTATGTAGAAAAAAATCACCAGCAATCGTGAATTGACTATAACATAATACACACATTCCTTAAAAGAATAACAAATGACTATAAGTGACCAGTTTGGGATCGAAAAAAAGAACTAATCACACTAAGTATTAATTTAAACCCTGTAAAACAATGAGAAACGAATGATCGATAATATATACAGATATAGGAGGCCTAAACTGAAATAATAGTTTTCATTACCTCATCAACTGATTGCCGTTCCGCATGAAATTAAACCAGAAACATAGTTGAAACGAATCAGTCAGATTTATCACCCACTACTCCATGATAATGATCTACAGACAAGTGTGTTTACAGAAAACTCAAATTATCCATAATACTTATTAGTAAAATATGCCTAGACTACCACTTGCTCTTCCCAAATTTCTTTATAACAACTGTATTATATCACTAAACTAGGTAACAGGCCGTTTTTTAAAGTCCTATTAACTGACGTTTTAAAGATCCCCATTGTATTTTGACTCGCAGCTTTACCTTTATGTATGATCCTAGTCAAACAGGGAGACGATGAAGTTTTCAAACAGGTATACGCACTAGCTTAGGAAACCTCCCAATACAGCCTAACGCGTTTAATTAGACGTAAATTTACCAGTATAGGGTTTGTGGAGATTATTAAGTTTTTGATTGAGATCATGAACCGATTGATGTTAGACCACCACCTTTGGAAACCTGGAAGCACTGGACGGCCGTTTCGTCCTATTGTGAAACTCCTCAGCAGTGTGCATCCGCGATCCCGCACGCGGGATCATTGGATGCCGGCTCAGTGGTCCAGTTGGTTAAGCCTTCGCGCGCGAAACCGAGGACTCTGGGTTCGAATCCTGCGTGCAGGGTCGTGGATGCACACTGCTGAGGAGTTCCACAATAGGACGAAACGGCCGTCCAGTGCTTCCAGGTATCTAAAGGTGGTGGTCTAACATCAATCGGTTCATGATCTCAATCAAAGACGTAAATTTGTTGACTGGAATTTGTGTATTGACATAAATCAGTAGTTGAATTATGTAGTGAAAAATACGAGATTTACTATTTGTTCCAAATTATCTAAAATTGACATGAAATTGTTCTAGTCGATGGGATGAACCATTAGCTTAATGGAAGGCTAACATAAATGTGCCAAACTAATATCATAATTCTAAGTGAGCATTATGGACATTAAAAAAATATTCTAAATATTCATAATCCAAGGAAAATATGATACCTGTATAAAGAGAGGAAATCATAGTCATAGTAACTCACTGGAGCATTTTGATGATAATATCTTGAAGAGTTTCGTGGGTGCACAGGTGGAGCTAAAGAAAAATTAAATAAGAAAAAGATTAGCATAAGTACAATATCGAATTATTGCTCTTAGTTTATCCAATATTATCTAGTGAATACAAAATACGAATACGTGATTTTATACATGTCTCTGCGTTTCCCTTGTACGGGCAAAAGTGCAGACTCTGTTCTCTTTTCGAAACACATCTACAGAGACATGAGTTCTCAACCTTTGCCAGGAATCGCCTACTGATTGTCTTCACGTGACGGTGATGTTGTTTACGTAAGTAAAAGGACGGAAAGTAAACATCCAGTGCTGAAAACAGATTGTTGAGTATGAAAACCGATTCTAAACCAATTGTGTAAATGAACTCAAGGATCTTGATGGAACGAACGATATATACTATGGTGGTTGGGGGTAGTCTACAAGAAAGCTTGAATCTAAGTTTTGTGTTATTTGGTACGCTTCAGTAAGGTGTACCTGTAATCTTGAGGGAATCGATGAGCCCTGATGGACTTGACATACGTGACATTGGTCACTAATCATTGATTAAACAGTTATAAAGAGTATATAAACCTATTTGGTCACCAACTAACTTGGGGATTGCATCTCCTTTGAATAAAAGAAGTCTTTTTAGATTTGACTTTATTGTATATTATACTTATTCACTTATTTTGTGTTTTATGATTGTACTTTCTTTCTGTCCTTGGTTTTTTTAGAATGTTATGTCTTTATTTTATGTAGCGCATACTTTTTTGGTGCCCAGTTATACCGCATTTGTGTATTAAATAAGTCAGTAAATAAAAAATAAATATAAACCAATTTTTAAATTAAAGGTTGTCAATCACCAACGAATTATTTAAACATCTATGATAAAGAAAAACGTATTTTCAAAGCCGAAACAATCCAATGATAAGATTGCGTAAATTTATTAAAATTTAACAACTTAGAATAGATAGATACTTTTTATATTAGGAAACGTTCAACTCAACCAGTTGTATAGACTATAGAGATAAACATTCAGCTATTCACTCACAGTGATTCCACGTTTTCAAGGGTGGTCTAAATTAATTCGGTTCATAATTTCAATTAAATTCAACAATCTCCACAACCCCTTACTGATAATCATCATGTGCTCACTAGTGACTAGTTTCAACAGAAAATTTATGGAGTTCTAGTGGGAAGCCGTGACCAGTGGAGCTAATACATGTGCGATGGAACAGTTAGCCACCGAAAACAATAGAAAGTACTCGCAAAATGTTGTGGATTGATTGGATCTAAACATCAACACCTTTGGATCCTGAGTTAGTGATCTAGAGACTAGGCGTTCAAGCGCTATATTGAAGGCCCTGAGTTTGATTCCCGTGTGTGGAGTCACGGATGCTCATTGCTGAGAAGTTCCATGTTAAAATGAAACGGCTGTCCAGTTTCCAGGTTTTTAATGGTAATCTAGTTTAGATCGGATCATGATTTCATTGATAACCCCATCGCATAAGTTGGAAAATGAGACAAAAACTTGGTGAGTCAACGTTCCAAAGGAATGTAGTAAAACCAATGACGAAGTGAAATGTGAAATAAAAATGAGATTAACAAAGACATTCAATTGACGAACGTTGGGACTTATTAAATGAAAAAAAGATATCGTTGAAAACGCGGACCGATCTAAATTAACGCACCATTGGAAACCTGGAAGCACTGGACAGCAGTTTCGTCCTGGTATGGGGCTCCACAGTAGTGGGCATCCGTGATCCCGAACAAGGAAATCGAACCCAGATATAACATCGATCTTTGAAAATCGACCTAAACATGTTGAGAGGTATACACTTTCCAGCTAGATTCTGGGAGACAATCATAATAAATAGTTGTAGAAATCAGGTGACACAAATCAAAGTTGGCTACAATGGTGCAGATGTAAATCACAAACAATGGGGAGCTTAGGACAAATATGTATTGACGCTAGTTGCCATACCATATTAATACTAGGAGACAAAATTAACAAGAGGAATAGTGAAGTCGAAATACTCATTGTAGCAACGACGATGAGAAAAATCATAAATTAAGAATATGGTTCGAGAAGACGAAATCAAAATGTAGATATGAAGGAACATCAACTAACTCAGTCGATACCCACATAGGAACTCATCAAACAGGCCTGTTTTCCTTATGTTACGACTTAAATAAAGCCCTGTGTTGACCAGTCAACTATTTCACCACCCATGTACACACGAAACACATTTCAAGTGGTTTCATGGTCTAATATCAAGACAGTAATCGCTACCAAACCCATTATTTCATCTTGAAATAAGTCGACTTGGTAGAGTCTCAAACTAAGATAAATTGAACATCTTGAGCTCATTAGTCTCGAGAAACTTTTATGTAATGTTCTCCGATAAAAACTTTGCGCCGTAATTAGCAAAACTAAAAACTACCTAATTATAATCAAACTTGTGATATTAAGATAACCGGTCTGACAACAGTATAAACAACAGTGATTCGGTTTATACAAAAAATCTAGATTATATAAGGTAAGAATTATGTAAAAATTAAAATACCTGTCACAACAAATACACCATATTGAGTAATCGAGGACTACGCTGTCAAATAATCAGTATTTATTCCATAACAGATGGATACTGGTATTTCATTAGCTAACTCAAGTTCACATAACAATGAAGACATGCTTATTGTAAAATCAACTAATGGGTTTTATGCAAAGATGGATAGTGACCAGTAGTGGAATCCAGGACGCGCGTTTCATCCCATTTAGGACTCGTCAGCTGGATGCACCTGCATCCTAGAGTTGATGTTCACTTCGGGAATAGAACCCAGTACCGTTCGCTTCAAACACCATCGTGTTCTCCACTTAGCGACTGAGTCCTGATAGTCACCTGTTTGTACAATGGGGGGAGTTTAAATTCACTTGATGTTGTTTTACTTGTATCTTTCCATTGTTATTTAGGACTGCAATTGATCAGTCTCATGTTGGCATATGTGCATCCTGTGCGGATTGCCTCGATATAGCCTTAGGTCACAGCCTTTTTGGGTTTTAATATCCAATTCCTAAAAGTTAAACCTGACATTTTCCACTATTCATTCATATGACCATTGAATTTAATAATTATAATCATAATAAATTATTGGTCGACATTCAAACAAAGATACCTGGTTTAATCAATATGAACCAGTAGTTAGTCCTTGGGATTAGTAACAAACGAAGGATGAAATAGTATAACAACAAAAATATGATACATAATAACAATAATACAACGTATAAACAACTTTGTTCTTTATTTATTTATTTATTTCATCAACATCAATAATTCGGATTATTTTATATACACCGATAAATCAAGGCATAAAATGACATGTATCTTCAACTGGAAAGTAGAATAATCATAAGCATAAACAACCACATATGACTCATCATCAGTTCACTGTATATTGATTAAATGCCTAGTGTATTATATAGAATAAAGAATGAAGAGAGAATCTTAAAAAAGAAAAGTATGTTATTGGACAAGTGGCAACCTGAACGAACAAAGGTTACAGTCAACAAAAATAAAGGTCATTGTTTTACTTTGATGTAACTGAATTATAGTCATTTATTCATTTTGTAATAAAACTGATAGTAACATTTAGTTAACAAAAAATAAAGTTTCAAATAGACAAGACTTTGATCTATAATCTGCTTACTAGTGACTGACTTCAAGAGATACTCCTGGAGTTCTACTGAGAAGCCGTTACCAGTGGAGTTCAACCAGGTCTGTTGTGAGATATCAGCTCACTGAAGACAGTGGTATACGGTAGCGCAACTTCGTGGATTGGTTGAAGTTAGACATTAACACCATTGGATGCCGGCTCAGTGGTCTAGTTAGTTAAGCGCTTGGCGCGGAACTGACAGGTCCTGGGTTCGAACCTCGCGAGGGGTGGGATCGTGGGTGCGCACTGCTGAAGAGTCCCATACTAGGACGAAACGGCCGTCCAGTGCTTCCAGGTTTTCCATGTTGGTCTAGCTTCAATTGACTCATAATTTCAATCTGTGAAATTTCTAAACTCTCCATAAACCCCTTCTGATTATAATGGTATAATAAATGATTCTTCTCCTTAAAAAATAATCTGAGAAAGTTGATCAGATCAGTTAAGAATATAAGATTGTCAATTAACTATAAGATAATAGGAGACCTAAAATGTTATGATATTAGTGAAAGTCAATGGATATTGGATCATTGTTGCGTTGTCGTTTGATAATGATTTAAAATGAAAATTAAGTTTAGATTTTTGAAATATTTCAACAAACCATCTCATACTAATATAATCATACATGTACAGGTGACTACCTTGAAGAAGAATTTCGCATAATTCTGTTGGAAGTAACCGTTAACAATAGAGGCGACCATGTCAAAAATGAGTTAATTGTCAATCCCATAACATAAGGGTCAAGATACAACATGGGGAACAGTGGATCTACGGTGCTGTGCTAGTTGTATTTTTAATAGAACTGTTCCTCCTATTATATACTACTTTCGTTTACTTATTGTTATTCATTTATTTACTTTTGATAATATTTCCCCTCCTTCCTACATTTCTCCACAGTTTCATTTTCTTGCTTGCGTAATGTATATTTATTTCGGTACCTAGTTGTACCAGGCATTTGTGTATTAAATAAACGAATGTAAATAATAGTTTCGACTATGTGTGAGGATGTGGGTATGCAATATTGAAGAATGTAAAACTCACAAGATACAACCATCTAGTACTCATTTGGCTTTCCAGTTACTGTCTGATGATGATATAAATTATCCTTAATTTTTCTTATTGAGATCATGAATCGATCAATGTTAGACCACCATTTAAAAGCTGAAATTAATGGACGGTCATTTCTTCCTAGTATAGGACTCATCAGTAGTGAGTATCAACGATCCCACACGCAGCATTCGAACTCAGAACCTCCGGTCTTCCGAGCGAACGTTCAACCTCTTCAAATTTTATACATTAAACCAATTAAAAAATAACAAGGGGGAAAAGTTTGCT